TGGCATGAACAGAAAGATTTTCAAACGCCCAGCGACAGAAGTTGTGCTTCTCGTACCAAACAAACAATAGTGTGAACGTGTCGTGAGAGGACATTTGATGGAAATGTTTGTGAAGCACAGTGTACTGTATCTTTTATTGTGTATTATTGTTATTTTGAATACTGATATTTGGTAGAGTTACCTAATTTTAGTTTGTTTAGTTTAAATATTGGTGATATTATCATATCAGACGGGGAGTGTAATGTTACCACACTCGATTAATCCGGAAATCTTATGTCCATCTTTATTTACTTTCATTTTTGTTTGTATAACGGCATTTCCGGAAGTCTGCACGAGGTTCATGCACTCAAATTTATCAACGAAACTTCTTGTTATATAGTGGCAACCATGTAAGTTTTATAATTGAAATTGTCTGAATATTAGATTATTTTGTTTGCAGTTTACTACGCAATCATTTTATTGTGCATATCATAAGTATTTTTGTTTATATGCTGTACTTGCAACTCGCAGTCGATGCTATTTTTAGATTTAAAATCCACAAGCTGTTAGAAAGTCAGTTTAAAGTTAAATTTAACAAAATTTTGTATGATATTTGAGTAGAACAAGTTGATAATGTGTTGCTTAACTATTGATGGTGTATAAGAATTACAGTAGAAGCTCAAATATAAGTTTTGAATGTCCGGATTAATTTGTTTAATGTTTACCTATGAATCTACATAAGTTTCTTGGAATTTTTTGATTTATATTACCTGAAGTTGTGAACCTACATGAATTATTTTTTATTTTTATTTTGTGTAGCTTTCACAGAATGTCTCACAAGAGAATGTATGAAGTCTGCTCCAGACCCTTGAAAGTTGAATTCTGAATAAATTTTATGAACCTTTGAGGCATTTTGTTAACTGAAACAAAACATATATCATACATAAAACAGTTACTGCACAAATATTAATGCTCTGTTATTTGGTATATCCTTGCACTGAAACATAAAATAATTATTGATAAAAAAAAACCCAGAATATTTCATTTAAGTAGGAAAGGACATTGATACATTGACAAAAAATTCCTTAATACACATAATATGTGACATATATGCTGAAAATTTGGAAAAATTTGTTTTAAAGCTAGTGCCCAATAATCTTTAGCTATCATTTGTAGTGCTTTGGGTATACAGTATAGTGTATTGCTGCACATGTCATTAGACTGACAGGTGTCCTGGGTTCGATTCTCTGGAAGTTGAAAAAATACAGAGTAACAAATAAATGGTTCTCTTTTGTCGAAAGTCATTATCGTTTGCTTATATACTTGTACATAGTACATAACCATTTTCGAACCTTTTGGGCCTCTTGTTATGTGTTTGCTAGAGCCAATTTCCAAACTGATGATAAAATTACATATTTCTCATCTACGGTATATACATTATGTATAATAAATGAGAAAAACATACGTCGAACAGACCAAGGGGTCTATATCAGATGGGGAATGGGGATATTTCTGTCTTCAAGCACCCGTGAATAGTATAGCAATAGATATCAGTCGCTAATAAGATAATGTGCAATTTTATGCATTACCATGATTACTGTAATGATAGTTAGACTTAAACCCACAAACAACAATATGACAGTAACAAAGAAGGGAATACATGTATAAGATGATAAATAGGAATGCCTATGAGATCATAGAGGGTGATATAAAAAGGAATAAGGAAAAGGATAAAATTTCAATCCAACATTTCACAAAATCAACTCTGTTAGTTAGGCCGAGTGCTTACAATGTCAAAGTTATACAATTTGGTTGTTCGTGCATGGTTTAATCATGCATTAATCATTAAAAACAAAGATAACCAGTTTCAGTTTAGATTTTATGGATTTATGTCAAGATTGTAGCTTTTTATTTGAATGAAAAATTATTAATACTGTCTCATAAAAGTTATGACAGTGTTTTTTTTTTTCAAAAACAAATCAATTTTCCAACATACAGAATTTATTGCATAATTACCTTGACCCTTTGATCACTTATCAATAAGGGTCTCCCTCGAGCCACAGAGAGTTGCTGTGTAATATTTCAATGCAAAGGCTTCTTGAAAGTGTTACAGACAGACAGAAAGACACACGGACAGATGCACAGACCTAAATTTAGTATCCCCACTTTCAGTGAAAGGGGAGACAATTATATAAGTTTTTTTTTTTTTTGTTGATGTTAAACTTGGTTTATCAAGATACTTGTTTAAAAAAAAATAGCATAACTTTCCCAGTGATTATTCAGTTCTTTCTTTTCCTACATAAATAGTTTTTGATATCATATTGAGCTTAATAATATTATACACCTACACATTTATCTATTTTAACATCAATATGCACTAAGCAACACAGTTCCAAAAAGCCGGATAATGTATTGGACCAGCATGCAAAACTTGTATCAAACCATTTTCCCCCAAATGAATGAAGAGTCCTTCCCAAACTTATGAGTTAGGACTTTGTGCTGTGTCATGTAGCATGATAAAAAGCTGGAGAAGAAAAAAATCTTTTTTTTAAATTTCATTATTAGAGTACAATTTTAAAGAAGTATAATTGAACTGCCTAAACTCCAATACAAGTCAAATTGAACCATCTTGGATGTCTTGATTAAATGTTTTTATTTTAGGCACAGAGCAACAGAAAAGAGTTTTTTTTTTAAAACTAGACCAAGTTCATAATGCATGTATTATTCCTCAGGTACTTTTAATATACAAGTATACATACAAATTAAATATTCAGTACCTATAACGATGTTCATCAGCTCAGACAATTTCAGGTTTGAGAATCTGTGTCAAAACTCATGGAACAAATGCTCACTGGATCCATATCAAAATATCACTTTAACATAGAACATTCTATTTACTCAGGGAGTTGTTGACTTTTAAAGCATCATACCAATGACTTTTCATACCAATTTTGCATAGATCAGTTTTTCCAAGGAGGGGTCCTGCCATCCAAGGTCACTTTTAGTAAAATTCACTGTTATCTTAGGACTTTCAGTAAGGCGGGATATTCTTGATGTTATGTATTTAGCCTCTAAAATTTACACAGCTTTCATTCATCGTTGAAATATATGTGGCCGGGATAGAAATTCAGGACATATAAGAAAGTAAGATTACCGGTAAGTTGTCTAATGATTGTCAACAATGATTAAAAGTACCTGATGTTATTAATTTTTTAACCAATGAAAATTTATTTGCCATTTGAAAGACACTAGTGCCGAGAATACTATGTCTTACTAAAAGTCCAAGGATCGCAGAGAATAATTGTACTGCTAGGTTAAGTATGTACATTTAATAATTCTGCAATGTCCATGGGAACACACACACTCACCACTACATCCGCCATGAAAATTTCAATCAAAAAGCATCCTATAGAAATTATACTATGGAAACAAGAAAAAAAATATAAGTGCTGACAAAAATTATTGTGTAAGGGTGATTTTGACAGCTCAGTCAGAGTACATAAAACAACTATTTTTTTATTGTTTGACTTGCTTATCCCTTTTAATTATGAACTCTTTCATATATTTACAAAACCTTATTGATTTTAAAAATACATAAATTACTTCACATTTTACCAATTAAATGACGTAGCTTTAGTAATGATGCATTCAATGCAATTCTAGTCATCAACTATGGAGCTTGAATTTATTAAACGAATTTGAGTTATGTACGGAAAACCTCGATTATTCAGTGCTAGAGTGTCCCTAGCTTAAGAAGGGGATCTCTGCCTTCCAAGGATATGATCGCCTGTAAGCACGGTGTTTTAAACAAACAAACATTACAAAGTAGAAACACTGAACATATTCATCTCCGCGTACATTAATTTGATCTATTTTATATGGTGTATGAATAAAAACATGATAAACAACGTTGAACCTTACTTGGACAGGTCCGAGCATTTCCTGAGATCAGAAACCAGACGTTAAAAAGATGTGGCAAACAAACCACTTATTTGTATCTATGAATAGCGAGAAATGTATTACATAGACACAAAAAGTAGTAAAACGTGCCACTTCTCTAAATTTTTAATCAACTAAATCGCATCCAAACTACCCATGTTTAACTGAAAGTATTTTCTTCTTTCACTTCCGTCACAACGTCACACGTGCGCATTAACGGTTTATAGAATATTCTGAAGATTGAACCCGATTACTATTATGCTTGTGAATCGTGAAAACGAATTTTTGGCCGTCTATGCATTAAATATTCAACTTATGATTTAAACCATACTTATTACAGTTCTATTATCGATAGTTTCAAATATCTAAAGCGATTTTTACACCCAAATCCTAAAAGTATAGATGTTAAAAAGATTTTTCAAATTATCATTTTTCAGCAAATTTGGTTTAAAAATGTGAAATTTTCTTGTTTGATGCCCGCTGCCCCACTTAATTTTTATGCCATATAAGGCAGAGAACATTGGAAAATAACGTGTTAATTTTAAAAAGAAATCTGTAGTCAGAATATCAAGCAGCAATTTATTTTTACTAGTAATGAACTTTATAATTTTGAGCTAAATATGTTTAATTCGCCCTAGAAAGTAATATTAGGTGGATCAGCAGATTAAAAAAAATAATTAAACATTTAAACAAGCATATTTTCTCTATGATTCATATGTTAAAAAAATTCTTTTGCTTTTAATTTTAGAAAGCTAGAATAAATATCTTAATTTCCGCATTTCCGTCATTTCACGAGACAATGTCTATTTTTAGTAACAATCCTATCAAAAGGAGGCCCGGTTGACCCCAAAATTTACACTGATCTGGAAAGGACAAATACTCAGTTAAGATTCTGAAAAGTTTCAACAAAATCTGTAGTTCCGTTATTTCTATAGGATGGTATGGATCTTTACCTTAAATTCAAATTGTTTCATTATCATTAAGCAAAATTAAAAAGAGAACATGATATATGCTAAAATTTACATATGAAGAGAGTGTATTCATTTCATATGATTCCTACTGATGGAAACCAGTTAACTTACAGTGAACCAACCAAAGATGTTCCACAACACGGAGTACGGCAGACCCACAGACAGCGCCACCTGCTGGAACACATCAAGTTTTGTTCCGTCTTTCAAAACCAAAATCACAAAACTTGCCTGCAAATTTAAGAAATGTGATTGAGTAAAATTCCTACATGTACATATAACATTTTGATTTTTTTAAAAAAAACATTTTAGACCTCTAAAATTTTTGATTTTTTTAAAATGATACATTTGTTAAAATTCATGAATAAGTTATAGCTATTTTTAGTCCCATCTCACTTACAGTCACTTGTATGTCAAACTTTAACATTGATGAGAAAATAGAGGCTTGTTTGTATAGATCTGAAAAAAAAATGTTATAAGTGGGAGATGCATAACATATATATATTTTATACAAAATTCACTGGTTATCAGATACGAGAAAAAGTGATAGAAAATGCTCACAAAAATTTCTTTTAATTCTCTAAGAAACATAAAATACCTACAAGAATTCTTCAAACTTCATCTTTAACGTCAATATTATATAGGGAAACTTAGTAAATCTCCAATAAATTTCCAGAAAATGCAAAAAAAAATGACCATGCATTTTCCAATTCCGTTTGATCAATTAACACGTAGTAATCTAGGCTTTTAACATGTATAACAACATATAATTTTCCTCAAAATATCTGTATGTATGCAACTATGCATGTATGTGGTAGAGTCACAGACCAAATTAAACTTGTTTAATATTTTATCCTGCAACTACCCCTTGCATTGACCTAATAAAGGTAACCTAATAAACCAAAGCTTTATCCGGTCACTGCCCTAATAAAGCCTCGTGCATGTATTCCGATGTTCTAAAAGCATTGTGACATCATGTATATTGCAATGTATACGCCATGGCGTCATTGTTCAACTGCAGAGATGTGCCTAAACCTGTCGAAAACAGCTAGTTTTTGGACGGTCAAATGAAAAGAAAATGTTGCAGGATAAACAAAATACATGATAACTGTCTTGAAATATAAGCGATATTTGGGCTCGGGTCGAAAACGTAAGAAGACTCGGCAAGCCTCGCCCTCTATCACGTTTTCTTACCCTCGCCCAAATATCGCTTATATCTCAAGACAGTAACCATGTATTTTATATAAACATGGATAAATAAATACTGTAATATTTCAATATGGCCATTGCTTTAGCTGTACCCTTTAAATTAACTGTAAATTGTGTTAATCAGACTTACGCTGAAGGTATTCCGATGCTCCGACGATTCTGAAAGTTAGATAACCAAAGTGTCTGGCTACTGACCAGGCCAGGACGATATTCGGGGGAGCCAGGACAATGGCTAGAATCATCCGCACCTGTGTCAGGCATAAACAGCTGATTATAAACAACACCAGAATACACAAAATAAAGAGGATATACTGCCACTTAGGTAATAGAATCTGTACTGTGTACTTATTTGGAGGTGGATTTTTAGTTATTGCATGCTTGGAGATTGCAATAATTGGTTGTCATCTGTTATATAATTTAAATATAAGAAACATTACAGGACTGACCCCTCTCTAATCAAATTGAATTTAGATGTTAGATCTGCTGGCATCAAACAACATCCCAAAGAGGGTTATGTCAGAGATCAAAGTCAGAACAACTCTCGAATAATTTGCTTCAACCATCAATGATTTTGCAGGAGACGATTTGATTGGTTAGATAGAATTTGATCTCTGATGTGACCCTCGATCTATGGGATGTTGTTAGATGTTACATGTAGTGTAGCTAGTATGCGAGCAGATATAGCATCTATTTTTAATTAGATCGGACCCTCTCTCTCTCAATGGACATCTATTTATAGACTACTCTTTACCAGTTTGAGTGTGCTCCGTCCGTCGACATTGACGATGTACTCCACGACACAGTACACCAGTACAACAAGAATAGCCAGTATCAGGACGTATAACTCGTACTTCTTCTCTCGCAGCAGGCCATGAAATACGTAAAATATACAGAACACTGAAAAAAAAAACACGTAAAATATACAGAACACTGAAAAATAAACACATTAAAACATACAGAACACTGAAAAATAAACACATAAAAATATACAGAACACTGAAAAATTAACACGTAAAATGTAGAGAACACTAAAAAATAAATACATAAAAATATACAGAACACTGAAAGAAGACTTAAAACATATACATAACATTAGATCAGAAATTAAAGAAGAAATACTGTAAAATCACTAAGTTTCATGGGGGGGGGGGGGTAATTTTCATTTTGTTTACTGGGTATGGAGAGACCTTCCAATTCATGACCTGACCTCAAAATATACTTGGGAAATGTCATATGCATATTGATTGATTGCAATTGCCATATTGTTTAATATATCGGTTAAAAATTTTTCACGCATATGAAGACACCATCCCTTTGCAGGTGGAGAGCTGCAAATTTTGTCCTATGCTCAGCACTTGTGGCCATTGAGCAGGGAGGGGTCTTTTTCGTGCCAGCACCTACTGCAACATGGGACCACAGTTTATACGGTCTCATCCGAAGGACCGTTCTCCACGTCCCACAGTGGGATTCCGACCCGCGACGTAAGGATTGACTCCTTACTTCGTGACTATAGAGCAAATGCTCTAACCACTGCGCCACGCGGGTGACCTTAAGAAATTATAATTACTTGACACTTCTCCAACCTAAAAATCAAATCCATACAAAACAATATTTCTTTCTCAAACCTCAAAAATTTGATCCCGTGAAAATATGTTATTTTACTGTATAAGGAGAATAAAAAAATTAGGAAATTATAAATAAAATATATTGACCTCAGTCTTACAAGAATCCCCCCCCCCCCCCCAAAAAAAAAAAATAATAAGTATATGTACTTATTTACAAAGAGTTTGCTATAGCATACAAGATTTTCAGACCATGAGTATGTAACATGTAAAATTTACAATGGTACATGTACCGGGTCAGTAAATGGGTGCATATGAACATCGGGGCTTGAATTTTTTATTTGATTTTTATCTGTACTGGACTTGAAAATTATATTGTTTTCATTATATACACTTTTAAGAATGACAAAAATACTTTTTAACTTCCTGATCAGAATAGTGCAGTATACACATTTAACTCTAAAACATTTAAAGCATAATAAATTATTTTCTCTTCACTTGAGAATGCAAAGTGCCAATTAAAAGCAGTGTACATGCATGTATTCCCTGAACAGAAACCTATGTTGTATCAGTGATTAAGATGAATCGAAGTACAAATTAAAACATGTCAAAGCTGGATAAGCATTAACATGTGACTTCTTACAAGCTCACAGTGACACATGACAGACTACAGATCATCATCCTTGACAGGTGCTAGTTAATGTCTCACACAGCTAAAAATCTATATCATAATAAAGAACAGGTACTTGTTGTGACAGACCAAGTCTTTAACAATATATATTACCTCCATTTATTATGAGAATCAGTGCGAATGTAAAATCAGAGCTGTCCGATTTGCCCTCGTCAATGACGGTGATGAAGCGATAGAGAGTCAGTCCCAGTGCTGTCACGATATTTACAAAACTGACCACCAGGAATACAGTCTCCTTGGCGTCCAATCCAGCGCAGGTTCTGGTCTAATTAAAAATAAGATAATCATTTATTTATTTGTCATGGCAAATGATAAATGCTTGATGGAGGATTTATATTAAGGAGGTTACACAAGAATTATCAAACTCACAGTAAATGAAATGTATCATCTGCTGAGATAATATTTTCTTTAATCATTACTGTAACAGCTATATAATAACCATAAATCCATGGAATTTAGATGCATTTATGTTCAAAAACATTACTGGCTATTGCACATAATATGATTGATTGATTGTATATTGTTTAAATTCTCTCGAGAGAATTTTTCACTTCTCAAAAAATTGGGAAGTGAATTTCGCCTGTGGGTGGAGAGCTGCAAATTTTCTCCTATACTCAGCACTAAGCACTACTGAGCAGGGAGGGATCTTTTCTGTGCCAGCACCTACAGCGACACATGACATCTGCTTATACAGTCTCTTCCGAAGAACTGGTCTCCAAATCCCACAGTGGGATTCGAACCACTGACGTAATTAAGGATCAAATCCTTACTTTGCGACTCTAGAGCAGACGGTCTAACCACTGTGCCACGTGGGCAACTGCACATAATATGCTATATGTATGTACAATAAAACACAGTTATATATATAGCAAACACGAACTGACACTTACAAAGTGAATTTCATTCCCCATGACTTCATAATTAATACAATAAAGCAAAATGGTTTGTCCCTTGTACTTCGCTGAAAGTGTGTTTTAATTCATACTTTTTAAAAAAAATATTATTACTCCAAATATAAATCTTTTACCAAGGAAATAAGAAAATATGCAGTTTGCTTAATGTCTTCTAAACCAGTTTGTATGTGACGTTACTGACGTACAAGTCTGACTGAACATTCTCTTCAAGGTGTATACGTACTTATGTCACAAGAGTCGGCAGTTTTATCAATAAACTAGAAATAAAGTCAAAATCATTAAAAACCTATTTTTAACTTTATTTCTAGTTTATTGATAAAACTGCCGACTCCTGTGACATCTGCAACCCAGTTCCTTGTTTGATTATCGATTATATACTATAGTAACCGGTCATAATCAGTCAGTTTTTGTATTTCCAGTTCATTTTTTTAATGTTGGACAAAATAACTAAAGTCTAAACATTGTACATCTTTATGATCTTTCCTATCACGTGTTTACAACTGATTCAGAGGCCTTGTGACGAGGTAAACACTCCTACCTTTAGATCATCGTAATTAATTAATCTACCTGTCTAGATTTCATTTACCTGACCCAGAGGAGTGGCGATCGCTGGCTTGGGGGCATCCTTGATTCCATACTTTCGAGTATTCCGTCGATTCTTCGACGTTATTGTCGCTTGACATGATTGTTTTCTTACATTTTCCTGACTAAAGTGAAAGTAGAGTTCCCACCATATTGGGAAATCATGTGACCAAAACAATCCCGATTTCCGGAACGGAAATGACCGAGAACACATACACTCGGAACGTCTCTAGTGACACATTTCCCGCCAGAGTTCAAAGGTATGACAGAGGCAGATCTGACATGAGATGCTGAGATTAGGTGATTTTTAGTAATTTACTCCAATTTTATATTATTTTATACAGTTATGTCATGTTTTTACTGAACTTGTGATGAAGACGTTCCTTTCTCATCTCATTAACCCACTCTCCCGCTTATGGAAGGGAATTACCGCCAAAAGTCTATGTATCTTGCTTTTATTCTTATTCTGCCTACTTCTTTATGCTTTGTTATTGTTGTAATTATATGTCACTTTATTGTTTTCATATTCGTCTTTATTACATTTCACTTTGACTTTTATCCTTCTTCATTTTCCCCTTACTTCTATGTTGCTTTATTCTTGTAAATTCATTTTACTTTCTTTTAAATTGGTACAGTTTCTGAAATGATTATCTCTATTACGAACGTGAATTCAATCACACAAAGAATGAAGCATATTCAATGAAGACGAATACAGTTGTCAAAATTTAGTGCCGCATTATAACGCTAGGTGGCATGGGTGTTCGGTACGAGTGTTGGTAAAACTAGGTAAGCAAACCAGGGTCGGGGTTATTCGAGGTTTTTTTTTTTCAATTTTCTGCCTTAATAATTTATCAATCGAACTTAAATTTTCGTATGATGTTTGTTATAACTTCAGGTGTGTACCCGATAATGACATTCCCTCGGAAGATGGTAAGATTTCCCCTGGAAGACTGACTACATAGTGGTGCTTCCTTCGGAAGACTATACAGTGAAACTTCCCCCGGGGAAGTTTCAATATATAGCTAGTCTTCTGTGGGAAATCTCGCTGTATAAAGCAATTCGTCCCCCTTCATAGCAACCCCTCCCCCGAATAGTTTTTTTAATGGTAAAACAATGTTTATATACTAAAGTTTTCAGTTTTTGAAGAAAACTTATCCGTCCTGTATGAATGGATGTTTAAATTATACCGTATTTTAATGGTGGTTATTAATTAAAACATGTTAACCATTTAGTTAAACATAGATAATCTTCACGAGTACAAATGGATAATGACTTCCTTTTTTCGCCCCCCCCCCCCCTGGATGCAGCCCCTCTCCACCCCATCCCCAAGGTGCAGTCTCCCGCGTGGCATTGTGGTTACGGCGTCTGCTCTAGTCACGAAACACAGTAGTAAGGAGTCGGTCAATACCACTATGGGACGTGGAGTTCGGTCCTCCGGATGAGATCTAGACCGTATTATCCGAGGTCCCGTGTCGCAGTAGGTGCTGGCACGAAAAAAGATCCCTCACTACTCAATGGCTATAAGTGCCGAGTATATAGGACAAATTTGCAGCTCTCCACCGGCATGAGGTGGCTTCTCCATTTGAGTTAAAAATTCTCGATATAAAGGGACGTTATACAAGGTACAATCATTATCACCCCCACTCCCCCAAGTCTCAATAAATATACTGACTTCCGTCTGTACGACCTCATATGGGGTAAGTTTCACCGGTAGAGGGGAGGGTAGCCACGAAACATTTTCCTAAACATAACAGACTTTCTACTAATGGAAAAGTTCAGCGAAAGGCTTGTTGCCCCCATCCCTTACACTTTTTGTTGCAGTACTAATAGTCAATTTATATATTAAATAATAAAAGTCATGTACTTAGTGGCATATGAGTAAATTTAGGTATTTAAAAAGGTTGACGACCCCCCCCCCCCCCTCAAATAGAATTTTCAAGTTTTAAGATGTTTTTTTTTAGCTCTCCTGGCTGATGTAAAATACGGTGCGTACTAAAGATATTTCTTTTCTTACTGTAATTGAAAAGTGCTACTTCAATATAAAATATTATAGCAGAAAAAAGACTGGGGAGTTTTTAGTATGACTGGGGTGTAGCCTGGTTCCGACTTCGCCTACCCATAAAACTCCTCACTCCCTTGCAAAGCCCCGTCCATAGAATCACACGCATGAGCAGTTACTATCTGTCGTGAAATAAAGTTCAGTTCAGTAGAAGGTCCTGAAAAACAACTCAATTTATAACGGGTAACTAGAATAAAAATATTTAACATTTTTATGTCAATTTAACTGGAATTCAATTATCCAACAAATAACTTTAATAGAGTTATATTTTACAGGCGAGAGAACAGTGACGTAGAATCGTTTTTTAAAATTCAAGCTATCCGCTTAAAACAACTTTACAAGAAAAAAAAAAAAAAAACCCAAAAAAATTAAAAACAAGGAAATTTTCCAGACTTAAAAATACATAGGCGTCGAAACCGGGGAGGGGGAGGGGGGCTTAGCCCCCACTTTTTTTCCAAAGATAGACTTAGTATAGACATTGAACATTGCTGCGTAGGTTTAGCCCCCCCCCCCCACTGTTTTGAAAAGAAATTGACACTGAAGTACATGTAGGAACACCCACCCACCCCCACCCCCACCACCACCACCACGAAATAGGATTTTCGTGTTTGGACAGTGGACATTTCTTTTTTTTTTTTTGTCAAGTTTTTTTTTTTGAAGGTCTAAAAAATATTTCTTACACTTTGCCCCCCCCCAACTTTCACTTTGCTTCCGACGCCAATGAAATCCTATTTCAGGGGCGGGGTGGGTTTTGGGTTAGATTCAACTTTTTCTATAGTATACTGTATCAAATTTAAATTTTCTCCCTACTATACTACATTAACCTTATTTGACCCTTACCCTTACAAAAAGTGGGTCGACCTTTCAATGAACATATTCAGTAAAGTATATAAAGTTGTGTCTGAAAAAAGAGGCCGCTATTCCTTTGTGCCTAGAGAAAATAAATATTTAAACATTGGATCGGGTGATCAGATCCGGTCTTCAGAAGTTCGATTGATAAAGTATTAAGGCAGAAAATTGAAAAATCTCGAATAACCCCGGCCCGGGTTTGCTTACCTAGTTTTACCAACACTCGTACCGAACACCCCTGCCACCTAGCGTTATAATGCGGCACTAAATTTTGACAACTGTATTCGTCTTTATTGAATATGCTTCATTCTTTGTGTGATTGAATTCACGTTCGTAATAGAGATAATCATTTCAGAAACTGTACCAATTTAAAAGAAAGTAAAATGAATTTACAAAAATAAAGCAACATAGAAGTAAGGGAAAAATGAAGAAGGATAAAAGTCAAAGTGAAATGTAATAAAGACGAATATGAAAAGAATAAAGTGACATATAATTACAATAATAACAAAGCATAAAGAAGTAGGCAGAATAAGAATAAAAGCAAGATACATAGACTTTTGGCGGTAATTCCCTTCCATACCCGCTCCAATAGCGTAGCTTAATCCCATTTGATTGATTTTGAATTTTCTTAATTTTAGAAAAATGGAAGGTATTTCTAAGGTCAAATATTATTTTTTCAATCTAATTAAAATCAGATCCGTTGATCCTCTCACATAGATCTCTACATAAGCAGGGAGTATAGGCCCCGGACGTAAGAGATTTAAAAATTAAAATATGTTGAAATGAAATTCTGTTTGGGCGAGGTGTCATATAAAACTATAGATTGGCCGACCTGTCTGTTATTGGGCCGAGATGTCAGTGAGCCGAGGTGTCTTGGGCTGAGGTGTCATTGGGCCGAGGTGTTGTTGGGCTGAGGTGTCTGATATTCTCCAAACTACAACATTGAACAATTAAGAGCCTTGGTTAACGTCCCTGTGCTTGATTCGTTACACAGTGACAAGTCAGAAGTATCTCGCTGTGAATCTCTAGCATTCTGGAGTAGGTAACAGATCATCAAATTGACGAATTTTATAAGACGTGCTTAACCATTTAGATTGGTTTTATAGAGTTATATAGAAAGTTGGAAACAGTCAAAAAGTCACATTTCTAATCGCTAAAGAAATCTTAATTTATAGCATCAAAATTTTATTTTGTGTTCAAGTATCCTTAATTTTGGATTCTAGGGCTTTAAAAGACATTAGAAATAGGTGGTACTCTTTCTGAAATAGGAGGTACCTTTTGAAAGCCATATCTTAATTAAAAATATGCCCTCAAATTTTTCTTTAATTTTTTTTTGTTGGAACGAGCTCCTGGCTGGTACAAATAAAATCCTTTTTTCAGATGGGTGATATAAGTACCTAGGTACTGGCAAATTTTAGTAGGCCTGCTAAAAAAAAAACCAGGTGTAATTAGGGCCCCGCAAGGATTTGCGGGTGCCCTATAGTAAACACTCTGTCTGTCCGTCCGTCCGTCCGTCTGTCTGTCTGTCCGTCTGTCACTCTTCCGTCCACAAATTTTCTGTTTTTTTCTAATAACTTTTTTTATTGTTGCCCAATCAATTTCAAATTTGGTAGGGTAGTTTAGTAGGCAGAAATACATATTTTGATGCTAAGTTTGGTTCTCTATGTCCTCTGGTTTGGAGCTGGGGTGGTGGGGTAGATTCCTTAACTATGCATAAAAATGAATGGACAACTTTTTGTGTGGTTGCCCAATTAAGTTCAAATTTGGTATGATAGTTCAGTAGGCAGAAATACATATTTTGATGCTAAGTTTGGTTCTCTATGTCTTCTGGTTTGGAGCTGGGGTGGTGGGGTAGATTCCTTAACTATGCATAAGAATGAATGGGCAAAGAGAGATAACTGCTGCATATGTTACCATTGTATACTTGGAAGGCTGTGTAATATTTGTCCTTTGGGATTAATTAACCTTCCACATGAAGAAAATC